AATCCAGGCCCGCCCGCTACTCTGGGTCCCGGCCTAGGGACCCTCTGGCGGCAGCCTTGCTGTCCTCCTTCTCTCCCCTCATCTGTCCGCTTCCCTGGGCCACTTCCCCTATGACCCCTTGCACCCACTACGCCCTTCCCTTCAGGGCCTGCAGCCTGGCAAGCTATGGGCTAGAGCTGCCTTTTGCTCCCAGAGCCTGGCCAGCACTGCGCTGTCCATGGTGCTAGTCTCCCAACCTCTGAAGACAGACCTTCCCCTTTCAAAGGCCTGGGACAGACTGCCTGCTCTCTCCCTGAGCAGCCTTTTTATAGGGCTGAGCCTGGCCCTGATTGGCTCCCTCCAATCTGGGCCGATTGTCTGCCCGTCTGTGCAGGCCCACTGGCCTGCTGCAGCCTAAATTCACCCGGGAGTGGGGCAGGCGCCCCACTACACAGAGGTAATGCAACCTTCCTACTCCAACCCAATATTCCTTGGTTTTCATTCAAGATCACAATGTTACACTGGGAGTTCATGTTCACTCATTATCTACCATAACCTCCAAATCTTTTTCAGAGTCCTTGCTTCCCTGGATAGAATCCCCCATCCTGTAAGTATGGCCTACATTCTTTGTTCCTAGATTTGGGACCTTACATTTTGTTGTATTGAAACATATATTATTTGCTTGCTCCCAGCTTACCAAGCAATCCAGATAGCTCTGTATCAGTGAGCTGTCCTCTTCATTACTTATCACTTCCCCATCTACAAATATTATCAATAACGATTTTATATTTTTTTCCAGATCACTGATAAAAACATTGAAGAGCACAGAGCCAAGAACTGATCCCTGAGGGACCCCACTAGAAACACACTGAATGAATGAGTCCACATTTACACTTACATTGAGACCTGTAATTTAGCCAGCCTTTAATCCATTTAATGTATTCCATGTTCATTTTCTTCTAGCTTCTTAATTAAAATGTCTGCATTACAGAAGTCTAAGGATATTACATTAACACTATTACCTTTATCAATCAAACTTGTAATCTCATCAAAAAAGAGTATCAAATTAGTCAGTTTTCCATAAACCCATGTTGACTGACAATTTTATTGATTTTCTTTAATTCTATATTAATCCAGACCCATTTCAGCCATTCCATTTTTTTGCCCAGGCCCAATGTCAGGCTGATAGATATACAGTTGCTCAGACAGTACATCAGAAGAGGGAATCAAAACTCAAAGATGGAAGTAAGGAGAGAAAAATAAAGATTAAATGACCTCCATTGTATCACAATAAGCAGGTCTAACCAAAAAAAAAAAGTACTAGACCACTGGATCCCCATTTATGAGAACTATAATTTTATGTTTATTTTTTATAAAGACTTATGATAATCAATTTTGCTTTTGGGTCTCATAAAACAGCATGCTTTTATTCAACTCACCTACAATGAAACAAGGACCTTTCAGCCAACCAGAAGGATATTCTGCATAATTACTTAAGCTCCGACCTTGCAAGTATCCATTATAGACACAGAATATGAGTGCTAGTGCAAAAGTAATGAATGGTGTTGGTTTTCCTCCACGAATCAAGAAAGAAAAGATGAGTGCCCTAGAACAAATAGGAAAAGAAACATTTTAAATTACCTAGTTACTGTTATTGCAATACATAACAGTAGGTAGGAATGCATTTTAAGGGCCCAAATCTGCAATCCTTATACTTACAAAACTCTCAGTTTTGCCTATGATCCCAATTCAACGAAGTGCCAAAGCAGGTGCAGAACAACAAACATGTGAATATTCCCATTTACTATGTTTGGACTGCATGTTCAGGTCCCAAGAGGCTAGTTGAGTCTTTACCAAATAATCTTATTTTAGTAAGGTCTTTACTGCAGATAAATACTAATATTCGATATATTTTAGTTTTATGGTAAATTTGTTAAATTGAGTAAAGCACCTTGGATAGCTCCTTGTTTGGAAAAGGACAACATGCAGCTGGCGTGTAATGCAGCACATAATTTGAGCCTTATTTTGTCCAAAGCCTTCACCATGGTGCTCCCCCAAGCATCTCCTTTTAAGGCAAACATGACCTCATCATTCCTGTGTAAAACCTGCTGAAACTAAGGATGGGGGAAGCAACCTGAAAAAGGCTGCTGCTTTTAACCCTAAGGGACCCCAACAGGTTACCTCTGGGAAGCTAATCTAGCAAACGCATCTTCCAATTCCCTGTTTTGTTTTTGTCACTGTCTTCTCATAAAGTACTAAGTACTCACCCTCTGAAAAACAGTTCCCTTTAAGGTCTCTAACTGAGCCCTGCCCCCCAAAAAACACACAAACAAAATCATCAGTCATTTTGAAATGACTACTTGGCCTCAATCTCTAGCAGGTTTCATAGGAATTAATTAAGGATGTGGCAAATCCCCAACTGGCATTCATCTGTGAAAATGTGGGAAATTGCTCAGATAACATTCCAGAAAAAACATGGAATATCATGTGGTCTTGATGTGCCATGTTTATTCAGCCAAGTTCTGATCACAGAAATATTAATTTTATTATTCAAATGATATAGTCATAGTATTTACATGTAATTCAAATTAAAACAACATCATGTAAAAGCTGAATATGCTTTAACAGTGCTGCAGTTATCCAGTAGTAACAAATCTTAAATGGATAAAATGACCATCAAAGTACATCTTTCCTCCCTCTTTCCCTCCACCTGAGTGGGATACATGTGTGCAACCACATCTTGAAGAACAAGAGTTACAGTATAGGTATGCAACTATTTTTTGCCACAATGCCATACAACGTGTGGTAGTTACAGCTGTTTAAACATTTTTTCCTAGAAGAGTTCTGGCATGATTTCTCTAATCACTCATATGGGGAAGTGTGGCAGTCTATAGCAAGATTGTACAACATGGTTATCCTTGAGGAAAACAAAATCTGCCGACACTGATACCTTATCAGAATCTTGTTAAATTGTGTTTAACCAAAGTAGTAGGTAGGCTTCTGATTCTACGTGCAGTGTCTATACTGGCAAAAATCTGACCTGTAATTCACTGCCAATGCAAATTCACCTGTGGTACCAACAGTGGAAGTGGTACTGCAGACTCAAGCTCTTTTACCATCTTGTCATATAATTCTACTCTCAGACGCTGTCTACAAGATTTTTTTTGGCAAATGTTTCCCACCATTGCTAACATCACTGATACTAGCAATGGCAGGAATATTAGCATAGATAAATCTGCAGCCACCTGTGGTTTTTACCACTCTGCCCGGAGGAGTCCTAAACAATGTAACAGTTGTCATGGCAATCTTGTTTATCCCAACAGTCCCAATGTTGCTACCACTAGTAGAGCTGCATGTTGGCATTCCCAAAACCTCTTCCACTAGGTTATCCAAGAACATAGTTCGACTACAGTCATGTCACTTAGGTTCCTTTATTTGGCATACATCAAAGCTATGCTAAATTGATCAGATTCAAGCTTATGGGGTGGGGTATAGGGTGTGCTTCACATCCAAAGTTACACAGCAAACCTCTTCCTTTATATACATTTACACATTACATTGCATTAACTATACATTGTGTCATACATTTTGGGATTGGCTTGATCACTTTGTAGAAACAAGTCCCTGTTCCGCATGCACTGTCCAGGCACATACTCTTTACCTCATTTTACAATTCAGGCGTATTTTACCCATTATCTTGTCCACTGTCCAGAGTCCCTGGGTGTTCAACCTTATCTTAACCAAAACAGACATTCTGTTTCCAGCCTGCTGATTCATTTACCTCCCTTAACCTGTTTCCCAAGAAATAAGACCTCACCCATGTTCAATTACTCATGTCAAGACAGGCCTACATTGCACTGGGAAACTTTTGCAAATTCCTTAGCGTAGGCAAGATTTGAGAGTAAGATTATATGACATGATTGAGGGGGAAAAACATATGCCTGAGATCTGTCTGCAGTACAGTTTCCACTATTGCCACTATGAGCTGTGAATTACAAGTCTGCTGTTTCTTAATGTAGGTAAATCAAAATGATTTTGGCCCTGCCTATTCTTTAATCACAACAACATTGAAACACTTATTGACTGCATAGCTATTTCTGAAGATGATGGAAATTTGCAGTGGGTGCAGCTGAATAAAGATTAGTGGCAAGTGTGAGCAAACAAATGTTTAGCACCATTTCAGACTGAATGTCTTATAGGACATTGCCCACTATCACAAATGCAGGGTTTCCTGATATAGAAAAGAGGAAGTGATGCCCATTTGCTCGTGCTATAAAATAGTGATTTGAATCAGGACAACTGGAATTTGTTTCAGTAAGATGTTTGTCCACTTACAACAGCTGTGTATTTGACCCCAATACTTTTGCAGAAAGAGAGCTAACTACTAGCATTAGACTAATGGATACTAAGAATCTGAATGTCACAGATCTCATCTAAAGACCAACAGGCAGGAAGTTTATTTCCTATATAAAAATCACAGATGTTCAGGTGGAACTGTAATTGAGATAATCCTTTATTGTCCTGCATACTGTGAAACATAATGGAAGACATTCCAGAGGTATGCAAAATTATTTCTTTGCCCCATTTTTCTGGATTGCACATCCCAGAACAATGCTGTCTAATTTCCAACTGTGCAGCTACCTGTGTAACCTCATGATTTTTAGCGTTGCCCTCAATTGCACCTGTGCAACAACCACCAATGAAAATGAATTGCACAGGTATAACTACTCCTGAAGGAATTCTGCACCAAAAAATTAAAAATTCTGCACACATTTTAAAATTCTGCAAAATTCTGAAAATGTTATGTGTCAATAAATGAATGTGGCTTCAGCATGGCAGTGGGGAGCACAGGCCACTGGCTGCATTGGGGTGACAGATCATCCTGAAGCGCCCACCTCCCCTGGTACAGGGACTAGGCAGTGAGGTTGCACCTGACCTTGACACAGTTTGGGGGGGCGGGGGGTTCTGGTGGAGGAGCAATGGGACTCTGCAGGTGGCTGGGGCTCAGCAGGGTGTTCTGGACACAGGGGGGTTATCACAAGCTGAACAGGAATCAGAGTTGCCTTACCTGCTGCGTGCCATAGAAAGAAACACCACCAGATTACTTTTGGCATTCACGGAGCAGATGAACACAGTGGCTTTTGGGCTCAGTAACCAACTGGTTGGTAGTGAATCAGTTTACAGTCAGGAAATTGACTGTTGGAGCTGCGTTAACATAAGTGTGCAGGGCCATTAACCACATTCTGCTACAAAGGATTGTGACTCTTGGCAATGTGCGTGAAATAGCACCGCTCTGCAGAAATGAGATTCCCCAACTGCGGAGGGGCGATAGATGGCACGCATATTCCAATTTTGGCCCGGGACCATCTTGTGACGGAGTACATCAATAGAAAAGAGTAATTCTCTATGGTATTGCAGGCGCTTGTGCATCACCAAGGGTGTTTCACTGGGAAGGTGCATGACATACACATCTTCAGGAACACTGGCCTGTACAGAAAGCTTCAATCCAGGACTGTCTTTCTAGACAAGAATATTCCAGTGGGGGATATTGAAATGCCCATAGTCATCCTGAGAAATCCAGCGTACCCCTTGTTCCCTTGTCTCATAAATACTTACAAGGGAAACCTGGACAGCAGCAACAAGTACTTCAACAATAGGCTGAGTAGGTGCAGAATGACCGTGGAATGTGCATTTGGCAGATTAAAAGCATGTTGGCACTGCCTTTATGTCAGCATTCCCATGGTCATAAGGAGCCTACTACACACTCCACAATATTTGTGAGGCTAAGAGTGAAAAGTTTCCCCCAGGGTGGAGCACAGAGGTGGAGCACCTGACTGCTGAATTTGAGCAGCCAGATACCAGGGCTATTAAAGGGGCATAATGGGGTGCTATTCAAATCAGGAAGGCTTTGAGGCAACATTTTGATAATGAGCACCAGTAATGTATCTTTACATATAGCACTCTGCAATGTTTTGTAAACTTGCCCCAATGCATGAAAAGTGTGATGATTCCTGGCCGGGATTTGTAGTCAGCAAATGATCAAACTGCCACTCTTAATTACTACCAGCATCAATCACCATGTGTAGGAGATAAATAAAGATTACTCATCTTTCAGAGTTGTTTTTATTAAATACCAATTAACAATACCCACAAAAGGTATAGTGGGAAAGAAGATCGCTATGAGAGCCTACACTGCCCTGCAATGCTATGTGTAAGTCCAGCTATCATTTCGGAAGCTGTATGAAGGTGTGAAGTGAACGGGGTACTGAGACATTCCGGTAAGTTGCAAGGAATGTGTGGGAGAAGTTTGGGAACGGCATGGAAAGCCATTCTGGATCAGGTACGGTAGGAGAGAGGGGGGAGGTGAGCATGCATGTGTTCAGCCTGGAGTGTGATTAGGGACTTCAACATCTCTGTTTGCGCTTCCATCACTTTAATCAACTACTCCTGGTCCTTTACAATTTGCTCCTCACTCTCCTTTCAGTCCTTTCTATTTTAAATTTTTCCTTGAGGGTCTCTTTCCACTTCTTTGATTTTTTTTTTCTGGCCTTTGAAGATTGGCGCACCTCTCTGAAGTGTCCTCATTGCTCCCCCTTGGTTGCTTCT